GAGAAAACGAGTCAGAATTCCCTGTATATAAAACAATGTAGCTAAAAAATGAAACGGTATTCATCCTATTAGAGTACCTTTCGTTTCGTTTGAAGAGGCAAGTGGAAAGGATTCACAAGTTGGCCTCACTGAAAGCTGTCAAGGATTGCCTCGGAGCTGTGATTGTAGATTTGTGCGAATAGGTCCTCGGCGCACCATTCGACAACAATCACAGCTTCCGGTGAGATCAACTTCAGAATACATCCCAATAGCCTCTTCAAACGAAACAAAAGATGTTCTAACTTATATCAATTAAGGAATGCTTCGAAAGTACCAAGAATCTACAGGTACAACTGTTCGAGGTTCATCATTTTACATTAAGACCTAGAAAGCCCTGGCCAGACAAGTTAATCATATTCAGCTTATGAAGTTATGTTCATCACGTAGAATTATTCCCAAATTGTGTATCATTGATAAGCCGAATATTCCTAGTAGAACTAAGCAAGTCCTTTAGAGAAAATCTCATCAATTAGTTGTTTTTAGAATTCAGGAAAACACCATACAATTACATTCTTTGATTGGGGGGAAAACCAGATTATGGCAATCAGTCAGAAGTTTTTGGCTCAGATGGCTTCTTTAAGTTGGAAACAATGACTAAATTTTTCAACAGGTCAAAATAAACCATAATAAAAAGCTTAGGAATTTAGGTATAAGAATTAATACGGAGAGTTATCTGGAAAGATTTAAGATAGATTTAAAGAAGCAGAGTAGAGTATGAGTAAAAGTTCTAAACCTGTCCAAAACAGCTTTAACATTAGCAAAGGAAATTCTTTCTAAATGTTTGGACGTTGCGTTGCCAAACAGTAATGATAGTAGGGAGAAATATTGGTATAACCCATACGTTTTATTGACCATTTACTTGAAGAAACTAGGAGTGATATCTAGTTGTAGGTTGCCTCTTTAATTGATGGTCATGCAGACTTATCATCAAGGGATTATAGAGTAAACAGCATTTAAAAAACTAATAAACCTGGAACAAATCATGTTAAGGGCAGACAAAGGAGGAGCAATGGTGGTCATGGATAAAAGAAGTTGTGTAGAAAAGATGATGCAGGCACTAGATAACGTAACGTAAAAGATTATTATAAAATATCCTACAGAAAATCTAAAGTATAGACTCATGGGTTGCCTTCAGCATTCGGTAACAAAGGGGAATTAAGGAAGTGAAAAATAAACAGACTTCTTTATCGAGATGCCAGGCCCCCGAATGCATATGGTCTACCCAAATTATATAAGGAAGGAATCCCATTCAAAATTCTTATTACGTAAGGGTAGCCTGATACATGAAATATCACGATAGATCCCTTTAAATTTCTTTTCAAACCATACTTATTGGGTTAGATTTTGAGATATGAAATCCAAGATAATAAGAATCTGGTGTCTTGCAGATGTTAATTATCGGGAGCAAGAACTGAGGCAATTAAGAAAAATTTTTAGTTGGAAATTGTTTTAAAATACTTGAGAATAGAATGAAGGGAAACATCTGTTTGAGGCAAGAAAGACAGCTGGATCACTAGATTAGAGTTCTGATGTTACCGTCATGCCAGCTTTCGAAAAAGATATATTAACTGCTAAATAAGTTTGATATCAGGATAATTTATAGAGAAAATAACACTTTCCTCAGTAATGCCATCCCCGGGAAATTTCGGACCCACCTTCCAAATCAGGCTATTACAAGGTTTTGTGTTCGCATGGTAGTGTCTATTTGGGGGAGACCTGCCGATCTAAAATTATCTAAACATAAAACAGCCAACAAAGGTTTGTGGGCCCCAAAGTAAGAACTAGCAGAACACATAAGACACCAAATAAACTAGCCTAATGCCAAACGCTTAGCTGGATATGGAGATCATACAAGAGGAAAATTTGGGAATCTATAGGAATAAATAAACCACCTACTTTTTCTACAAGAGACAACACCCTGAATAGAAGGAACGAGAGTAGGAAATTAAGTGGAAACTACCTTTGGCTGTTAGACGAGATAGGAAAGAGAGGGAACAAGAAGTACCGCCATGCAAGAAGTTTGATTAGCCTCAAATTTAGTTATCAATCTCAAGCTACAAGCGTCTCACGAGCATTGTATGCACATAACACACATGCAGTGAAACACACTCACATGCGGCAACATTTCAGGATCAAACAAAAAGACAAGTGGGAAAGTACCACGTACACGGTACAACTTTGGAAATGGTCATGCATACAATGGACTCCGGACTAGGTGCGTTCCTCTAAGTCTTCCTATCAATATGACCAAGTTGCGAAAACAAGGTGAGACAACTTCTATAAAAAAGACAAGTGTTGTAAAAGAGGATGCAGCTATTTGGTAAGAATTACATCGATTTTACGCTTCAATTGCATCCATCTCGCATGTCATCCGAAGCCGCTTCACTTTCAAAGGCATGTAAGAAAAACATAGGATCTCCAACCAAATCATATTTTCCACAGTTGACCTAGCTAAACTATAAAAATTAAGTCGACTTGCCACTATTCTTGTATTTGTGCATGATGTCCTGCTCATACGATGTATGGCGCTCAACAAGGATTCATTGGGATTGCATGGCGATGCGCCGAGGACCGATTCGCACAAATCTGCAACCAAAGCTTCAAGGCAATCCCTGTATAGCTCCCGGTGAGGCCAACTTACGAATCCCTTCTATCCGCCTCTTAAAATAAAATGAAAGATACTCCTACATGGATTTATCATGTGAATTTTCGAAAACCAGTTTTCTACATATGTATTCATGCTATTTTGTCTAAGGTGATAAAAGACTGGTAGTTAAACTTTTCCACAATTATATGAGCAAGCTTCATGTCTCCATTGGATTAAAAATAGCCTTGCTTCCCAAAAGCTAGTCCCGAAGCCCTATTTAAAAGTGAAAAGCAAAAAAGAAAGCCGAAATATGCAACGATACGAGATCTTTCATAGTCTAAATTAAGTCTAAAATTTACAAAGCAGAAAAAAGTTTAGTTAGAGCCCTTGGACATTGACTAAAGAAAGGGAAGCTTGGTGTAATGCTACATCTTTATTTACAGAGCAAAACTAAATCATAAAGTACCTTTGTTTAAACAGTCTGATGGCCGGAACATCTAGTAACATATGTCTAAGCTGTTCTGGTTGAGCTTGGAGGCTTAACTCCAATTTCAAGCACAGAGTTACAACTTATTAAAGTGACTAACACTATAAAGCTAAGGGAGACTGCGACCAAACAGATAGCCACATTATCTTGGTCTCCATATCTTGAACTATGTAGTTCTTATAGAGGTTCTAACAATATCTCAGAGGTATGACATCCGAAATTAATAGCTGTCTGGATGAAAAAATGTGCTAATCGAAAGACATAAAAATGAACGCCAAATACAACCCAATGCACTGAGAGAAATTTGTAATAATGTGAGAATCAAAAAATAAAGTAGTGATTAAAAATGAATTGAGGTTGAGAAATTAACTGATAAAATGATACTAAGGAAATATAATTAATATAAGAACAAAATTTCCCAATAAGTACCTACTATTACAAGCTTACGTCACAATAAGCCTGAGCCATAACTGAAAGCCTTGACCGCTGCTCATCCCAAACCGAAGCCACGATACGCTCTGCCACCTCCTTCTGGAAAGTAAGTGTCATTTGGGTCCGCCCTCTACGCCAAAGTCCGCGACGTTCAGCCACATCCGAGAGCCAATTTACAATAAGGGGAGTTGAAATATTAAATGGTAAATTTCCGATGATATGGAATCGAGAAGGAAGCAAAGAATGGAGTGTCAAATCGGAAGAGACTGGAGATGTAGGATTACATCCTTTGACTTCAAGTAAGCCAGTAGTGGAAGCGGTTATATTGCCATCGTTCAGATATAATC